GAAGCCATCTTTACATACTGGGGAAGATATCATGTCCATTGCAAATGCATTTATTATGTAACTTACTTATATTTTTTAAAATGGAAAACACATGGTTATTTAACTTGGGCTTACTTAAAATTCTAGCTATGCTTCAAACAACTGCACAAATCCACACCCAGTTTTTGTCTTCTGCATCACCCACTTAAAACTATTCTCTTCAACACATCTATTACTAACAAAATTATATTGTTCATTTATTTCTTTACTTTTTTATTATCCATCTATTCCTCATGGTAATTTAAGTTCCAAGCAAACATGACCTTGTCTGCATTGTTCAACATTGTATATCCAGCCCTCAAAACTGTCTGACATTCTGCAGGCACAGGACAATATTTTGGGGATAAGTAAAATAAGTCAACATTTCCTAAACTTAATTTTCCATGGAGCCATTTTTCAAGTTAATATATGTTAACACTATGGGAGAATAATGGGGAAATCCCTATAGCAGCAATTTAAGGAACTACTCTTATGTCCAAATAGAGTATCAAGTCACTTCCATGATTGGGTTGCTTATTTTTCCTCCAAACATCTTTCTTACCCATGTGTCAATTTCTTTGAAATGCAACAATTCATTGTGCATTTCCTGAGCCCACTGCATCCCACTTTTCATGATATTCATACATCTGTGGGAAAGAGATTAGCAGATGGCTTGTGCCTGACACAAGAGGAATCAGGAGAGTGAGTAATTTGGGAAGTAGAGGTCAAGGAAGAGCTGAAAGAAAGAAAAAGCCCCCACACCAAAAAAATAAGGGGAGAAGACTCAAGAGAATCTTCACAATATGGACAGCCATCAGTTCTGTATTTTTATATTTTTGCATCATGCTAGCAAGGCGTATTGTGAAATAGGAAGAGTAGAGGAGGCAAAATCTAAAAGACTTGATGTGTTACTTAACCTCATTGAGTCTCATTTTTTTCTTGTGTAACATGGTGTGAAGACTTATCAAATAATACTGTGGCTGCATTAAGAGAGTTAAACTATGTAAGAAACCTAACAAAATATATGCCTAGATGACCTTCATGATGGTTAGCTCACAATAATGCCTAATATTTTCACTGAATTAAATGTCCATATT